CGGTGGCGTACTTTTTCCCTGACACAGAAGCAGGAATCAGGTTCAGAGGAGTGAAAAGTTCAAACCCGAGACCCAGACTTAAGGAAGGAGGGGGCTGGGGACCTGGACTCCTGGGTTTGTGGGAGGAGGGCTGTTGGGAACAAGAGGTGGAGTTTGGCGGTGTGTCCAACAGGCAAACAGGTCCAGAATCAAGCTGGAGACCCACATTCCTGAGTCTGAGAAAGGGGCAGGCTGGACTTTGACGTGGGAGTAGGACCGAGGGCCCGCTATTCGGCAATGCAAGCTTAGGGCTGTGTTCTGAGGGGTGTGGGAGGCCCCAGTGCTCCTGGGTTGGATTACAAGCAAGAGAGCAAGCCAAGGCCACAGCTATAAATACCTCCTCCAATCGGCAGGAGCCCAATGCTCCAGGCAATGACCCTAGTGGCTTATTCTGCAGAAAATCATTATCACTAGCGCCCTCAATTCTTAAAACGAGGCGTTGCCAATACCACATAACTTTATTGCTCTTTGGCACTCAACATCCCAAACCCATCTTCCCACTAACCCATCCTCTGCTACTCGAAAACTCAAACTCCCGGTAGTCCACGCGAGGCAGGAACTACAACTCCCAGAAAGCTCTGCGCCCAGGCGGGCTCCAGGAGTAGGCGCCGAAGAATTTTCAAGGTTCGCGCGTTCGCTTGCTATTGGTCCTCAGGGAGGCGTGGCTGGAGGTCCGTGGCGGTGATTGGCTGGAAGTTCCTGTTGCTCAAGATCCCAGAGGAGGCGGCGGAGCCTGCGCAGTTCACGGTGCAGGGCGTCGTCCGTCACTGAACCGGTGAGGCGCAGGCGCGAGCTGCCCAGGGGCAGGATGAGGGGCGGGTGGGAGGAGAAGCTTTCGAAGATGTCCCCTGAGGCGAAAGAAGACTAGGTTAAATTGTGAAAATGGGTGGGAGTCGGAGGAGCCGAGGCTGCGTCACGCCTAAAGCAAAAAAACTCAAAAACTCAACCCCCAGCAACTCCTGGAGCACCGGCCACTCAGACGCCACTTCGGAACCCCCGAGCGTGACGGGAGTTGTAGTTCAGACTGTAAAAGCCACCGTTGCCGGGGAAACGGGCGAAGCCGTCGGGTTCCTAGTCTGAGGAAGGATTGGGAACTTAGTCCTATGACTTCTGAGGGTTGAGGAGGCCGGGGCCGACTCCTCGGTGAGGTGAGGAGCTGTGGAGGAAAGAAGCTCGTATCCCGAACCCCGGAGAACAGAGGGAGTGGGGTGGGGGCTTGAACTCCTTATTCTGGAGTAGGGAGCTGCGTCCAGCACTTAAGTAAGTCCTGGCGAGGCGGTTGGGGGACTAGAATCCTGGGTCAGGAGGATACGGAGGGCCCCGGTGCTTGTGTCCCCATGTCTCCTCACCTGTGTCAACAGCATCTCGCTCTGCAGGGGGAGGGTCCCAGGCAGGGGGTGGCCCGCAGCCAGGACTCAGCTGGTAATGGCTGAGCAGATGGTGGAGCTGAGCGGGGGTCAGGGTGGGGTGGTCTGTGCGGAGGCTGCTCCAGGAAGCCTGGTGGGAGGACCAGGTGAGGAGTCTATGGTCATTAAGGGGCAGCTGAGAAATTGGAAACAGAAGGGCCTCCACAATATCCCCAAAGCATAGTGATGAGTCGCCATGTGCAAGGAGCTGGATCCTCCATGACTGACCATGGTTTGAACCTTGGCCCTGGCAACTTGAAAACCAGACCAGTTGTGTGTTCATGTGTGCCCCAAATCTTAACAGGGTGAAAAATGGAGGAAAGACAATTGCTGTGTGAGGATGCCCTGTGGGGGATGGTTTCTCTCCTTTCTGCCACATGCCCTCTGGCTCTACTTTTTAAAAAATCTACTTATTAGAGGACCAGCAGGTGGCATAATGGTTAGGTCACTGAACTCCCACATGGCTGGCTGTGGTTCAAGTCCCAGACCGGCAGCTTTAAACTCACCCCAACCCCGGCAGCTTAAAACTCACACAAGCCACATGTGCATGTGTGCCCAAAATCCTGAGAATAGAGAAGAAGGGATTGGAGTGTGGCCATCCCCCCCGGCAGTTGATTTCTTGCTTTCCATCTCTGTCTCTCTGGTGGGTGCATACACCCTATAGCAAAAATCTCTCAACGAAAAACATATATTAGGGGCCAGCAAGCATGGTATTTAATGCATGGTTCGAGTCCCGGATCTGGCAGCTTGAAACTCATGCCAGGCATTATGCATATATGCCCAAAATCCTACCAGGAGACTGGAGAAGGGATTGCAGTGTGGCCATTCCCACTTAAGGGTGATTTCTTGCTTTCTCTCTTTGTCTCTCTAGTGAGTACATGTGCCCTATATAAAAAAATCTCTCAAAAATAAAAAAATCTTATTACCTTCCAGCAATCTACCATGCCTCAGTTTACTTATGTGTCAATTAGAATAGGAACTACCTAATAGAATTGTTACAAGGTTGCAAAATGGCATAATTGTAAAATACTTGAAACATTGCCTTGGCCTTATTAAATGCACTGTAAACATTCGGTATATAAAAATAAATAAAATCAAGTGACCTATCCTATCCAATTCTGTCTCCTGAGATTATCAGCGAATACCCTACTTCATGGGGCTTTGTCCACATTAAACTAGAAGTGCCAAACATTTAGTTTATGTTCAATGAATGTTTTAACCATCACATTCCTTGGTCTCAGACCAGACTTCCTGACTCAGCATGTCTGAGGGAGGGATCCTGGAAACTATTTTTAATAAGTTCTACTGGGATCCAGGCAGCCGAGTTTGGTCATGCTGATGATGGCTTCCTTCTGGCTGCCAATGTGTCACCCACAGTGTCTGAGCTAAGGCTGGGGAAGACTTGGAGTCCAAGAGAGAGCTGAATACAGAGGATGGATGAGTAGGGTTGGGAAGTCAGAGGTCAGGGGTCAAGTAGAGCTGACTAAGAGTCACCTTGAGCAGGGATGTGCGGGGCACGCAGAGTAGGTTCACAGCCATGGAGAGTTTCCGGAAGAACTCAGTGGCAATGTCGCCCAACCCAGCCCCCTGCAACCAGTCCAAGACAAGGTCCAAGTTGGTTCGGATTTGGACAGCCCGGGACCACTGATAGAAAGGTCGGCCTTGACCTGTAGGGGAAGGGTATGAGAGGCCATGAGTGAGTGGATCCTGTCCTACATCCCAGACCATTCCTGTCCCTCAGCTTGGGATCTGGAGCTTGTTCGTAGAGTTCCCAGAGGTGAGGCTGTGCCTGTGGTGTGTCCAATTTGTGGGTTTCAGTGACTCCTGTCTGCCACCCTGCCCACTCCCGGCTCGACCCTCACCTCGTTCCATCAGCGAGTTGAGGAGGGATGCATTGGAGAAGAAGAACAAATAGCCAAAAGTCTGAGACACGAGGTCTGGGTGCAGCTCACACTGGCTGGTCAGTTCCAAAGCTGCCTGGAACACACCTAGAGTAGGTCTCAACCCAGGAGGCATGGCCCCTAGTTCTGCGCCAGGCCCTGGCAGCTCTGCCCCAGCTGAGAAAGGATTACTGTCCAGGAGAGCAGGCAGCGTTGAATACAGAGTCTGAGGAGATATAAAGGCATGAACATGTGACTAGATTATAACTTGCTGGAAGCAGTTCTAAGGTAGAAAAGCCTGAAGAAAATGAGGGGCTCCCCCAAAGGCTTCTGGAGCTGTAGTACATTCTACCATCAATATCCTAAGGTAGGATACAAAACCCTACTTTATGTAAATCCCTACTTTGTAGATGGGTTTCTCACATTCATCAGCCCTGGGCCACCTCCAGTCATAAAAGGCTTGCCAGAGTTTTCTCAGGATTTTGAGACCACTTCTCATGCATTATGGGACTTGCAATTCTCGGCAGAGACAGCTTGAGGACAAAGGATACTGAAGCTAAGGAGAATAAAGAGGCCTCTTCAGTCCAAAATTATTTATCCAGAACTCCCGAAGGAAAGAAAAAGAATGGAGAGTCAGGAAGTGGGAGTGGGGTGGCAGGTAGCCAGTGGAAAGTGAGATCAGGCCAAGGACAGGAAATGAGGTCAGAGACAGAACTCAAACCACACTTGGCAGGGATGTACAGGAAGTGAAGCCTTGGTGGAAAGAGCCTCTCAGTCAAGGCTGCTCTAGGAACTTACAGACTATCTGTCCCCAAGCAGCCCCTCATTTTACAGATAAGGGGTCAGGCCCATCATAAGTCAGAAACAGAATTCCAAGAAGGAATATTAAGGTCAAAGGTAGTGGTGGGGATACTGGGGCAGAAAGTAGAACTTTTCATTTAAATAACAATGTCTGGCACTGTCTGATCTATCCATCTATCTAGCTATCTAAAACTCAGTGATGGGAGATTAGACGTAGAACATAGCACAAGCTAGCCCGTGGCGTGGTTAAGGCGACTGGATCCTACATGGCCAACAGTGCCATTTGAGTCATGGACCTTGCAGCTTGCAGAACACTGAGTGTATGTGTGTGTGTGTGCCCAACATCCCCAAAGCAAGAGAAACAGAAGGGATTTTAGCATGACCATCCTCGGGATGTTTTCTCACTTCCTCCTTCTCTTTCTGTCTCTCGCTGGTAAGCAGGAGTCCTCTAGCAAAACTTAAGAAAAAAAGAAAAAAATGGGAGCTCGAGAAAGTAGTACGTGATTTACCTAATTAGGGTGGTCAGTCTGTCAAGACCAGATGGTTGCAAAGACAGGAAGAGAAGCCAGAGAGGCAGGACGTGATGTAAGCTCAAACAGGAAGTGGCATCACAGAAGTTAAGTGCTGGGTGAGATGGGATGTTGCAATATTAGAGAAGCAGAAAGTCTTGAATGAAATAGAAAATGACATCAGAGCAGTGCAACTGCAACAGTTTCTGCAGGAAGTGACACTATGTCAAACAGGAAGCAAGGAACAAGGCCAACCTTGGTGAGGTAGTAGACAGACTGCTGGAAGGTACACATGATGACCTCATCCAGGAGGGCCATGGCCTCATCACATAATTCCAAGTCATTGCAGAGCTGTGGGTCTGAGGACAGGTCTGGGGGTGAGAGGGAGACCCAGAGGCTGGCCACCGGAAGCCCAGGTCCCCAGGTTCAGGGAGTGACAGGAGGCTTGTTGGGCCTGGCTGTGGATCAGAGCTCACCCTCCTGGTCGGCCTCCTTCTCCATTTCTAGTACGTGATTTACCTAATTAGGGTGGTCAGTCTGTCAAGACCAGATGGTTGCAAAGACAGGAAGAGAAGCCAGAGAGGCAGGACGTGATGTAAGCTCAAACAGGAAGTGGCATCACAGAAGTTAAGTGCTGGGTGAGATGGGATGTTGCAATATTAGAGAAGCAGAAAGTCTTGAATGAAATAGAAAATGACATCAGAGCAGTGCAACTGCAACAGTTTCTGCAGGAAGTGACACTATGTCAAACAGGAAGCAAGGAACAAGGCCAACCTTGGTGAGGTAGTAGACAGACTGCTGGAAGGTACACATGATGACCTCATCCAGGAGGGCCATGGCCTCATCACATAATTCCAAGTCATTGCAGAGCTGTGGGTCTGAGGACAGGTCTGGGGGTGAGAGGGAGACCCAGAGGCTGGCCACCGGAAGCCCAGGTCCCCAGGTTCAGGGAGTGACAGGAGGCTTGTTGGGCCTGGCTGTGGATCAGAGCTCACCCTCCTGGTCGGCCTCCTTCTCCATTTCCAGCACCTTCTCCTGTACAAAGCTCAGCAGCTCTGTGGTGTTGGCCATCCACAGCATGAGTGGCCGCAGCTCCACAGACACAACCTCAGGAGTCAGGGGCACCTCGGGGACCCCTTCAGGGTGGCTGAGGAAGAGAAAGGAACCTGTGATCCCTACCCAACCCTCATCATAGTGTCCAAGCCCAAAGATCTGAGTCTAAGTTGAGGACCAAGACCAAACCCCATTTCACGGCTGAAAAAGTTGGGTCCCAAGGAGAAGCAGAAACTCTACAACACGCATTGCGTAAACACAGAGCTGGGTGCATGTCCTGGCCCCTGTGTCCCTCCAGATCTTTCTGCACAAAATTTCTCTTACTTCTCTGGCTGACGGTCTCCAATTTCTTTAATCTTTTCCTGTGGAACAGTAAGAGCAGAATCAAGGTGAGAAGGACCCAGTGAGGGGCTGGAGTTAATACCCTAGCTTTTCTAGAAACCTTTTTCACTGACATTCTCCCCACTTTTCAGATGGGCTCTAATCTGATCGTGAGTGGTCTTTCTCGCTGAAGGTCTCTTCTGCTAAAACTGAAGTTTTTTTTTTTTTTTTTTTTTAGAGAGATTTTTGCTATAGGGCATATGCATTCAGAGAGAGACAGAGAAGTGTGAAATCACCCCCCAGGGAGGATGGCCATACTGCAATCCCTTCTCCTCCACTCTCTTCTCAGGATTTTGGGCACGCACATGTTCCTGGTGTGAGTTTGAAGCCTCCAGGTCTGGGACTCAAACCGTGATTGGCCATGTGGGAGTCCAGCACCTTAACCACTAGGCCACCTGCTGGCCCCCAAATCAAGGTTCTTAACCCCCCAAAACAAACTTTTCTCGGACTGGGCCCTAGTTAAGAGGATGAACCTCTCCTCCACTCTGCTTTCCTTCTGACAGGGCATCTGTAGCTCCCACAGCTTTCTCTCTCTCCCCTAAGCGTGGTCTCCACTGCAACTGCCCCATTCTCCAGGCCCAGCAGGCCGCTGCCCACCTCACTTCTCACAATGGTCTCTCCCAGCTTCTCATCCAGTGGGCTCCCCCCATTTCCCAGAATGGTTTATCCTGTGATCCCACAGCTTCCAAGGTACTTCGAGCCTTCTCTATGTACAGTGGATGAAACCCTAACTCCCAGCAGCCCAGGATTCCCCCCTTCATAGGCCACACCCCTCTTGAGGCATGATGGGAGGGTAGTGTCCTCCACACTAGCTGTGAAAGGGATTTCAGATGGGGAGAGGCAGGGGTGCCAGTGGGGTGGTTGGTGGTTGGTGGGGGACGCTCACCCAGACGGCCTCCTTGATGAGCCGGGCCAGGCGGCCCAGTAGGCGCGGCAGGTGGCCCAGCTCCAGCTCGCGGGCCGAATGCTGCACGCACAGCGCAAGCAACGTGGCAGGTCCAAGCGGTGGCAGGTCCCCAGCGCCGGCGGCCGCGGCACGCACAATCTCACCCAGCAGTGCCTCCTCCTGGCGCGCAGGCAGCCAAGGCGGCCGCGCGGGCCCTGAGCCCCCAGTGCGGGGATCTTTGTACATGAACAGGAAGTGGTCACCCAGCCCCAGCAGGTCGCCGGGGTACAGCTCGGCCTCCCGCAACAGGAGGCACCCGTTGTGCGTGACTGGGGCGCCCCGGGATGGGCGCACCATGGCTGGGGTCTCAGGGCCTGCACGCACTGTGCAGTGACGCGGCAGGATATCTGGGGCGTTGAGGAAGGTGTCCACATACGGGGCAGGGGACCCGCCACGGGCAGATGAGTTCCCGCCCCGGCCGAACACGTGCTGCTCCCGTGTCATCACGTACACCACAAAGTCCTAGAAAGAAAGTGAAGATGCACTCAGGACATCGCTCTGCAAGGAATGGACAGTTCCAACTAGATCCCTTTCCCACAGTCAGCTACCCTATCCCCACCTCCTTTGAGGGATCCCAAAGGACTCTCCCAGTACCTCCGCCTCCAATGAGTGGGCTTTTCCAAGGCACTTTCTATGGTCAACTGTCCCATCACACTCACCCTGAAGACTGGATATTTTCAGAGAAACTTTTCTTATTTCTTTCTTTTTTTTTTTTAAGAAAGATTTTTTGCTACAGGGCGCATGTGCTTGCCAGAGAGACATTAAGCGAGAACCCCCCCCCACCATGGCCAAGCCCAATCCCTTCTCCTCCAGTTTCCTTTCAGGATTTTGGGCACGCAGGCACAAGCAAACCAGGTGAGTTTTAAGCTTCCCGGTCCGGGATTAGAACTGCAGTCGCCTACGTGGGAGTCCAGCGACATAATCATTAACTATTATGCCATCTGCTGATTTCGAGACTCCTCTCTTGACGTAGGCTCTACCATTTCACTCCCTCAAAATTTAGATGCTTCCAAGGAGATCTTTCTCCACTGGATTCTCCTATCTTCTCACTTCTTAAAATGGATTATTTATTTAATTTTTTAATTATTATTAAATTTGCTATAGGGCACGTGCACTCACCAGAGGGAGAGAGAGAGAAAGTCATAAAGCAAGCCACCAAGTTCAGTAGTTGGTCATGTGGGAGTCCTGCACTTAACCACCATGCCACCTGCTGGCACCCCTCACTCTCTGGATGGGCTCTTCGGTGCAATCCTTTCCTACCAGGAACTTTGCCATCACATCCAGCCCAAAGAATGAATGCTTCCAAGGACACCGATGTTACTCAAGTGGACTATATTGCTGTCCTCGTGGGCTAAGACTGGACCTGTCCAAGGAAATCTTTCTCCCAGGAACTCCTCCCATTTCTCTTCCCCACTTATCCATTATTCCATCCACATAATGAAGCTTCCAAATACATTTCTCTTTCAATAGTTTATCTCAGTATGCCCAAAGCAAGAAATGAAGCAATACTTTCATGGAGACCTCCCCCCGCCTTTGTTTTTTTTTTGAGAGGTTTTTGCTATAGGGCGAGTGCACTCACCAGACAGACTGAGAGAGATAGAGAGACAGAAAGTGAGAAATCACCCCCCAGGGGGGATGGCCACGCCGCAATCCTTTCTCCTCCATTCTCCTCTCGGGATCTTGGGCACGCACGCACACGCGACCAGCGTGAGTTTTAAGCCACCGGGTCCAGGATGCGAACTGCGGTCGACTATGTGGGAGTCCAGCGACATAGCCATTACACTAACTGCTGGTCCCGAGACCTCCTTTTTGAACAAATGTTTCTTCTATTGTCTCCACTCATGGGCGTACACTTCCAAAGAGACTCTCTCTCTTCAATGGATTGATTTATTCCCATCCCATGATAAACTCAAGTCCAAAGAGACATACAAGGGGTCATCAAAATGTTCATGTGAAATACATATGAAAGTATTATTCATGGATTTCAAATTGTTTTTGTACCAAAATAAACTTGTACTTTAATTCTATTTTTTTTATTGCCAGAGGACATGTCCCCTCGCCAGAGAGAAAGCACTCCCTAATGGGTCATGGTCATGTGGCAATTATTTTTCCTCATCCCTCCTTGTTGTCAGGATTTTAGGCACCTATGCATGTGCAGTCAGCACGGTTTTCAAGCTGCCAGGAACAGAATTTGAACTGAGGTCAGCCATATGGAATCCAGCTTCCTTAACCATTGAACTACAGGACCTTTCATTTTAATTCCATTTGTGTGTGTGTGTGTGTGTTTGTGTGTGACTTTTTGAAGTTTCCACGTATTCCTGCAATGGACTCACCTAATACCCTCCACTCCCATGATAGAAGATTCCAAAGATACTCCCCCTTCCATCAGTGGATAATGCTGTCAATATTTCTGTTCTCAACATTGATTATCTCAATGAGTGCTTGGTATAGTGTGCTCTTTGTTAAATCCACTTGTAGGCACTTTCAAGGAGACCCTCTTATAATGGAGTGTCCCATTTTGCCCACTGTGGAGAGCAGCCAATCTAAGCAAACATGGTGACCTTTAGACAAATGCAGAAAAGTTTCTGTGAGCAGTCATTTGCAGGGCAATGAACACAATTGACATGTAAATGTGCTAGCTGCCTGTGTCCAAAACTGCAGAGCAGTATCAGGTTAAAAGAAGACACATGTGTTTATCAGAATTGGCCCCAAGAGATCAGAGAAACTACACGGCACCAGTTGTCCTCACATCTTTAACTGATTATATCCAAAAAACAACTGGCTTTACATTCCACTTCCTATTCCCCTATTTTTTGCCCTTTAAAAGAATAAACCTGGGAACAGTTAAGGGTCTGCGGCTATGTCCATCAGAGAAGTAGGGCCCACCTGATCCTCACTTTTCTATACTTGTCTTTGTGTGTTTATTTTTATGCTTATTTCTAATCCACAGCCCCCAACTCAACACATTCTGCCCCAACAGCCCACCAAATAAAGAGATGCATTCCAGAAGACTACTTCCTAAAAAATGGACTCTCATCTCCATTCTATAAAAAGCAAAGCACTGGGGGCCAGCAGGTGGTGTGGTGATTAAAGTGTTGGACTGCCACATGGTTGACTGCAGTTGAAATCCCAGACCCAGTGGCTTGCTTTCTCTCTTCCCCTCTCTCTCTGTCTTTAGTGAATAAACAAGTAAATACATAATAAAATAAATAATTCTTTAAAAAAAAAAAATGGAAGCACTCAGTTTGACCTTTCCCAAATAAATGCTTCTGTTTTCCATCCATGTCCAAGGGACAAGTCTCTTACTAGGTGCAGGTCCCATTTCAACATTGAACTGTACCATTACCTTTACCTCGGGAATGGACATTTCCAAAGAGACCCCATCCTACATCACAATCACTCATTTTTCCCTCTAGAAAAATGAGCCCTTCCTTCTTTTTTATTTATTTATTTATTTTGAGAGTTTTTTGCTATAGGGCATGTGCGCTCGCCAGACAGATAAAGACAGAGAGACAGAAAGTGAGAAATCATCCCCCAGGGGGGATGGCCACACCACAATCCCTTCTCCTCTGTTCTCCTCTTGGGATCTTGGGCACACACACACATGCACCCGGCGTGAGTTTTAAGCCATTGGGTCCAGGACGCGAACTGTGGTCGACTACATGGGAATCCAGTGACATAGCCATTACGCTAACTGCTGGTCCCAAGCCCTTCCTTCTGACTACCTTCTTTTTAAAAATATTTTTAAGAGAATTATTTATTTAATTTTATTATTACTATTTTTAAGTTTGTCCAGAGAGAGAGAGAGGGAAAGTGCAAGCTGCCAGGTCCAGGACTCAAACTGTGGTCAGCCATGTGGAAGTCCAGCACTTCAACCACCACACCACTTACTGGCCCCCTGACTACCTTCTAAAGGTAGACTTTCCTAGTCTCCATTCCTGTCTGAAGGAAGGAAATGACCCAAAATACATGAGCCTTTTTCCTACAATAGGCCTTCCTGTTATTTAACCCAGTGAGGGATGTTATCAGGGCACCTGAAATATAGTCTCACATTACAGCCATGCCATGAATAGATAAGTCCAAAAAAATTCCTTCCTACAATACATTTACCTATTACTCCTGTCCTTGAGGAATTGACACTTCTAATGAAACCTCTTTTTTTTTGAGAGAGAGATTTTTGCTATAGGGTGCATGTGTTTGCCAGAGAAACAGAGACAGACAGACAGACAGACAGAAAGCAAGAAATCCCTTCTCGGGACCAGCAGTTAGCGTAATGGCTATGTCGCTGAACTCCCATGTAGTTGACCACAGTTCGTGTCCTGGACCCGGTGACTTAAAACGCACGCCGGGCGCATGTGCGTGCATGCCCAAGATCCTGAGAGGAGAATGAAGGAGAAGGGATTGTGGCATGGCCATCCCCCTGGGGGGTGATTTCCTGCTTTCTGTCTCTCTGTCTCTCTCTGTCTGTCTGGCGAGCGCACACACCCTATAGCAAAAAAACCTCTCAAAAAAAAAAAAAAAAAAAGAAATCCCTTCTCTATTCTCTTAGGATCTTGGGCACACATGATGCACATACACCTGGTGTGACTTTAAGCTGCCAGGTCTGGGACTCACACTATGTGGGAGGCCAGAAATATAAACATTATGCCATATGCTGGCCCTGGAAAATTTTTTTAGAAAACCTTACTTATCTGTTTTTCTCGTTGTTTGTTTGTTTGTTTGTTTGTTTGTTTTGAGAGGTTTTTGCTATAAGACAGAGAGAAACAGAGAGACAGAAAGCGAGAAATCACTCCCCAGGGGGGAATGGCCACACTGCAAACCCTCTTCCTCCATTCTCCTCTCAAGATTTTGGGCACACACGCACATAAGCCCAGCATGAGTTTCAAGTCACCAGGTCTGGGACTTGAACCATGGTCGGCCATTTGGGAGTCCAGCAATGAAACCATTATACCATCCGATGGTCCTGTTAAATAGTCTATTTATTTTAATTTGGACAGAGAGAGAGAGGAAAGCAAGCTGCAGGTCTGGGACTCGAACCACAGTCAGCCATGTGGGAGTCCAGAGTCCTTAACCACCAAATCACCTGCTGGCCCCCAGAAACCTCTTTTTAAAAAAATTTATTGGGGGAATAGCAGGTCACATGGGTGTTAAGGCAATGGACACTCCCACATGGCTGACAACAATTTGAGTCCTAAACCTGGTAGCTTGCTTTCTCACTTCTCCTTTCTCTCTCTCTCTCTCTCTGTCCCTCTCTGTCAAATTAAAAATAAATGAATGGGGGCCAGCAGGTGGCATGGTGATTGGGATGCTAGATTCCCATATGGCCGACCACAGTTTGAGTCCCGGACCTGATGGCTTCCTTTCTCTCTCTCTCTCGTGCCTTATAGCATATTGAAATAATAATAATAAATTAAAAGTTAAAATTTTAAAAATGAATGAATAAATAAAATAAAATAAAAAATTATTTTAAAAAATATTTATTGGAGTCAGTAGGTGGCATGGTGATTGAAGTACTGGACTCCCACATGGCCCACTGTGGTTTGAGTCCTGGACCTACTGGCTTGCTTTCTCACTTTTTGCCTTTCTCTCTTTCTCTCTCTCTCTCTCTCTCTCTGGCAAGTGCTTGTGCCCTATAGCACATTAAAGATAAATTAATTAATTAAAATTTATTTATTTGGGACCAGCAGCTGAACTCCCACATGGCTGACCACAGTTTGAGTCCTGGACCCACAGGCTTGAAATTCATGCAGGCACATGTGTGTGTGTGTGCCCAAAATCCTGAGAGGAGAATGGAAGAGATGGGATTGTGGTGTGGCCATCCACCCTGGGGGGTGATTTCTCTCTGTCTCTCTGACCCTCTGTCTCTCTGGTGAGTGCATGCTCCCTGTAGCAAAAATCTCTCTCTCTAAAAAAATTTACATATATGTATATTTAGCTATGCCACAAACCCTCTCCTCCATTCTCTTCTCAGGATTTTGGACATGCACACACACCTAGCATGTTTTTCTTTCTTTCTTTCTTTCTTTTTTTTTTTTTAAAGAGGTTTTTGCTATAGGGCGCGTGCACTCACCAGACAGACAGAGAAGACAGAGAGATAAAAAGTGAGAAATCACCCCTCAGGGGGGATGGCCACGCCGCAATCCCTTCTCCTCTCGGGCTGCTC